CGACGGACAGAAACAGGGGATGCAATGTGGAGCTTCCGGCCGTTCTCCGGCGTGATGCTGCGGGCCATTCACTGCTAGACGAGACACGTAAAGGGGTTCTGCACGTGCGTGCGCTTATCTGGATGTGTTTTGCGATTTGTAGTCACCGTAGGTGATGGTGTGGTCATTTTGGCGGCGGACATGTTTTTTGGCGTCAGTGTTTACTGTGGTGTTCGCGGGCCTCAAATTATGTCGTGTTTGTCGTTTTTGATGTGAGAATTTATCGGTATGTTATGGTTTTTTGAGATTATTTTCATCTGTAATTCATGATTACAAGTTTTGGTGTTCTTGGTCGTTTTCGACGCCCGCCATGGAATTCTGCTCTTCTTTTTCTATTTTTTACTTTTGAATTGGTGTTGCAGGGAGAGATATAAGGATTGTATGAAAAGATTTGCGTTGTTAATTTTATTTTTTTAGTTGTTTCTACCTCGGATTCCCATGTTATTTTGTTGTTGGCGGAGGTGGTGTATGGCGGCTGACTGTAAGCTGCGATTTCTTGTAATCTGGTCAAACTGCGTAATTAATTTGCGTGTTTTTCAGTGTTGTTTTGAATTGCTGCCGTATGTGTAGTTGGACTGCTACGTGTCAAAGTTTTTATTACTGTGTGTTGGCATTGGAGCCGCACTGATGGCTCTGCACTTTGATTATAAAGCCCGAGCCATCTGTCAGTTTCATTCTACGAGCTGCAACCAAAGAAAAGGGGGGATGGATCCTGAGCTGGGAGAGGTCACAGAGGAGGAGGGGGATGCCATAGATGTGAGGGCTGCAGTAGCGGAGCAGAGGAGGAGGAGGCGCAGGCGCAGGCAGATGGCGCGACGTGCTGCCGAGGAGGAACTAGAGGCAGAGTTCAACAGACGGCTTGCACGTGAGGTGATGGATACTTGCAACTCCAATGAATTGGATCTTCTTTTCCCAGAGGGCAGGGGAAGGAACCATATTCAGATCATTAGTTGGGCTAGGGCGAGAGCAGCCATGGCTCCACATCCATCCACCAGGGCAAAATGGTGTCGTTTCTTTGATCGTTATGACTGAAGTAGTGAACATTATGTTTTTAAGATTTTTGTTGTGGGGGAGCAGATGTTCGAATGACTAAATGAATTCAACTTGTTTTTGTCTCTGAATGTGTTGTTTTGTCTGCATATGTTCGACATGTGCACCTTTGAACTGCTTGTTTTTTCTGTAGTTGTACTGATTTGCGGTCAAATGTTGCATGGCTTGTATAATAACTATTTCCTACCAGCTGGCTGCCCATCTTCCTATTTATTATTTTAATAATCTGCGAGTGTCCCTGACTATAAATGCTATCCATCTATGTGTGGTGTGTGGCCAAGTCTTCCCCCTCCCTTTTCTTCCTTCTTCCAGAATCAGATCTAGGTTCCTCTCTCTTCTGTTCGTCGCCTTTTTCTCTGTTCCTGTGTGTTCCATGGAGGATTGTTCATGCGGATGCCTGGCAAAGATGGCGCGCATAGCTGACGGCTGTGTGTATGAGTCTGGTTTGGAGCTCACTCAGACTCAGTGGCGCGGGTAACTTTCTTGTTTGCTGTACAGCAACCATGGGTTTCGTACACCCTATGTTTGTCGCCTGACGGATGGTGACTTGAAGGAATCATGGGTATGTGTTTCTATTCGTTTTGGTTCCTACTTTCTTTGATGGTTTCTGTTTGAATCCCATGGACTGGATCTGCAGTTTTGTCTAATGAATAGCTTGTCTATATTTTTTTAATTTGGTTTTGTGAGATTTTAACAGTAGGGATTTCTGTGTGCATTTGTTCATTACTTAACAGTATTTTAACCATTTTTTTGTGTAATCCCCGATCTGTTTATGAATAGATGTTTTTACTGTAGGTGTATTGATTTGTATATTTCTTCAGTTTAGTCAATTCACATGTCTAGTTAGTTTTGTGTTATTGTTTTGGTTCAGATTTTTTCCATTTTAGTTTGTTATGCAAATCGTTCCTATATCTGTGTAAAAATTCAGTTACGTCAGGTGTTCATTTTGTTTTGTACTCCCATGCCCATTTGCTGAAAATGTCATCGAGGATCAGGATTTTTGCTCCTAGTTCCGGTGTTCTGAAGATGGAGAGTTCAGACAAGAATGGGTATCAGTTGATGGATGTTGCCTACCACATCGACTTTGATGGTTGCATCAACCTAACTACTGGGTGGAAGGAGTTTGTTGCTGAGTCTGGATTTGAGGATGGTGATGTGGTTATGGTTATGTTCTCGAGAGAAGACGACTCTCTGACGTTCAGAATCTATGTGCTGTAGGTTTAAATGTGGCAAATGACGCCGGTTTTGTGAGATTTGTGTGTGGTTGATTATGTTGCAGTATTTTTTTCTTTTAGAACATTTTGCATGTGAGATGGTTGAATTTGTATGGTATTATCAGAATGGTATGGAACTAGTTATGTAATGTTATTCCTATTGTTCTGCTCAAGTATAACTGTTTTTTTACATTGTTTACATTAGTTATGGAACAATTTCTATAGTTGAACTGATGGGCATCCTTTGTTTTGACTGATATATTTTTCATGTTCATAAGTCGCAGACGGTGCTATACGCTGATGAGTTTTTTAGAACCGCTTTTTTGTTATTTGAGTTTTGCTGAACTTACATCCTTTTAATGATAGTACTGATCTATTTTAGTTTGTCAATTACCGATCAAATTTGTTTGTTGTATAATATTTTTTCCTTACTTTTTTACATGAATTTTGGAGAATGTTTTTTCCTTTTTTAATAGATGAACAATGATAGTTTTAGTATTTCATAAAATAAAAAAAAATAATCTTCGCTGCACAATACTTATTTTTATTTTGTACTTGAACCATATGAATTGTAGTAGTTGATTTTTTTGTAAATTCGTTCCTGAAATTTTTATTTACAGTCTCATATATATATATTTTTAGTTCTTACCATTAAGATGTGTTTGAACTTTTTACAAATTTTTTGTTTATTAACTGCGTTTTTTTTAAATTATCTTCATTTTTTATTTTTTGCTATGGGGCTAAGTACTTTGTTGGGCCATTGGCCTGGGTCGTTGTATTCGGCCCGAATAGTTTCTCTCGCGCGGCTGTGGAGCACGGCGTGCGTGTGCGCTCTGGGTTTAGTCCCACCTCGCTAGTCGAGGGGGCTCCGGTCCTGTTTATAAGCGCAGCCGACACTCACCAGTCGAACTCATATGAACACTTACCAGAGCGGTTATACACGGCGCTCGCTATCTCTCTGTCGACCTGTGGGCCCTGGACGGCAGGCCCATGCGTGTGTGGGCCTGCTCCTGTCCTTGGGTGGTCAATTTTTTTATTTTTTGTTTGTTTTTTATCTAGTACTTGACTACACCAGTAACTTGGACTGGTACTTTTTTGTCATTGGGCGGTCAATTTTTTTATATTTGGTTGTTTTTGGGATCTAGCACTAGACTATACCAGTATCTTGGACTGGTACTTTTTTGTCCTTGGGCTGTCAATTTTTTTCTTTTTCTTTTTCTTTTTTGTTTGTTTTTATATTGTACTGAGGGTCGTGACTTGCCCCCGCACCGCACCATACCGAGGGGCATAGTTGTACTGACACATCTTCCTTGTATGGACTTTGCCCCATTTATCTATCTTAGGGGTGTGGGTGCGTGGGGGGGGGACATGACTTGCCCCCGCACCGCACCGTACCGAGGGGCATAGTTGTACTGACACATCTTCCTTGTATGGACTTTGCCCCATTTATCTATCTTAGGCGTGTGGGTGCGTGGGGGGGGGAACCGAATAACCGCACTGCGCTTGTCAAACGAGCGCACTACCGCGTTAGCGCGAGGCCGAGCCGGGGGGTGGGGGTGGGGGAGGTGTGTTCGGGGCCCCCCTCCCCCATCCCGGCGAGGCCGAGCTAGGAACGAGCCGTAGCAGGCGACGACGCGGCGTGCCGCGGCGTCGCATGCGGAGGCGAGTCCGTAACATGACTTGCACCCATTATCTTATCTTTATTTTTTAGGGGAAAAACCAGCACTGTTATTAATTATTTTTTCATTTGTACCTTTTTGATAATTTTTTATGTACTGTTGTGAGTTATTTATGTACTTTAGCCGTTTGTTTTCTTGATCTATATTAATTTTTTATTTTGTGTTTGATTATTTGTATTATCTTTTGTAACTGGCCAGATATAGTGGGCTTTGCCACGGTTGTGGGCTTTAGCCGTACGTTTTCTCCCACTCATCTTTTCACCCTCCCACTCACCTTTTAACCTCCGATCTTCCCCGTTCAGCTCCTCCCCCGTCCCCAAATCGGTTCCGTCTTCGTTCCTCTCTTCTTCTTTTCTCGGAGGGGGAGTTGCTACTCCTGTCTTGCCGCGGGAGCGTCGGCCGGAGGGTTCAACCCCAGGGGGTGGAGTTCCGGGTGCTCTGTTTTGTTCCTTTTTTGCTCTGCCATTGACTTTGCTTGCGTCCTCTCATGTTCAGATTATCCCTCTATTTCTAATCTGTTGCTCTCTTTGCTGACCTAGGCTGCAGTTGCTAGGGTTCCTTTGCTGTTGAACGAGCGTTTGGCGGCAGTGATACTGGATTTGCGTGGCGGATTTTGTGTTAGGTGGTAAGAGTTTTGCTTTTTGTATGGCGTGCTTCGTTTCTGAAATAGTTCAAATCCCTAATTTTTGTTCATGTGTCTTGCAGATCTGGTTCGGCAGATTTTAGGACTGTAGATTTGAATGGGTACATCATCTAGTCCGGACAAATTGAATGCAGGTGATTCCCCCTATTTTTTGTATGATGTTTTAACAGATCTGGTTTTTAGGGTGTACAGTTGGTGCCGTATCGACTTTATAAGTTGTATGTATTTTGATATGTGTTAATTTTGTCTTGGATTGTATGGTGCGTATGGTTTTGGCAGTTGATGCAACCTGCAGACAGTTTGTAGTACTTATCACCACGTGTAATTTGAACTGATGTCCTCACATTTGAATAGATTGTAGTAGTCAGTGAAGAACTAGTTGTTGGGGTTGATTTCCAAACCAGACTTCCCCAGCTTCTGCTTGTCACCTCCGATGCTGAAACCAACAAATGTGTACAATTTCTCCTCCTGCAGGAAGTCTTTGAGGCGCTTGGGCCTGCAAGGGGGGAGACACACATTTTCTAAAGATTAGTCTTCTTTTTGAGTATTTAATTCTACTACTTTTTTCCGTTTTACAAGTGATAATCCATGAGGTAGATGCTTATATATTACGAGCCATGCATGAATGTAGTTCATAAACTACTACAAAAAGTCCTGAAATTAAATTCAACTACACTGTGTTATATTTTTCTTTTTTGCTATCTTCGTTGCTACACCAAATGCTTCACCAAATTAGAGAATCATTTTTTACCAGAGTCAATGATTCATGCGCTGCTTGATTCAAGTTTAGTTTGTTTTTTTGTTGAATAAAAGACCTATACCAGTGCTTGATACATCTTTGTGCATTAATTCTATATCAAGTTCAAAATTTTAGTTTTGAGAAACATGTGCATCAAGATATGGACCTATACCACTTCACCAAAGATCTTTTAATACATCAATTCTATAAACTATACTAGTACATCAAGATCAGAAACTATGCTAGTACATCAAGTTCAGAAATTAATTTGGTGTATAAAGTTCAGAATGCTATAAACTTTTTTTCAGATGCTAATCTGGTGAAACAATCCACTTCACAGTTCCAGAAATGCATGTAACTTGAGAAACATGTAATCGTGCATCCACTACATAGACTATAGTAGTTCATAGCATTCAATGAACTACTGGTACAAACATATGACTATAATCGTTGGGAAACAAGTTTTAATTAAGTTTTTAGCGACTAGTACTGGTACAACAGATGAATGAACAGTAGTATGGGTTACCATTTTGTGGCTGCTGCGATGTGGTACACCAAGCAGAGTTCCTCGACGCACAACTGCAGGACTGCCGCCATCTGTGGAGGTTTTTCCTCGTCGGTGTACTCCACATCAACTCCGATGAAGCTCGGATACAAGCCGCCGCCCTTCTCCTGAGCCTACTCATCATCTGGTCGGCCTTGTCTGGTTCGCTGGTGCAGACGATCTCCAGCATCTCCTTGCCGTGGAGCTCAACCCCTTTGAGCGTTTTGGTGTACTCGTGCTTCTCGCCGGGGACGTGAACGTCGGCGAGGTTGCTGCTCTTGTTCGAAGTGTCGCCATGGTGACATTTGGTGGATGGTTCCTCCGCCATCGCCTTGCTCCGGCGACTATGGGCTTGGGAGGGAGAAGTTTTTGGTTTGTGTGCAGTGTAGATGGAAGCGGCAATGGTGGTTCTGTGAATGAGGTAGAGATGGAAGACAATGGGGTATTTTTGTAGTGCGTCGACGGTGGTGTGTTGGAGGCGGTTCGTCGGGGACGTCGGTGTAGTGGTCGTGGGGGTCGCCGTTCTGCAGTGCGTCATGGCAACCACCTAGTGGGTGGCGCGGGTGGTGGCCTGGAAGAACTAACCGTCCCAGACAAAAAAAATTTACTGCTGCACTGATTAGTCTTGTCAAGCTGTACTTATGATCTGCTAAATCCCACTTGCACGTCTCTGCGGTGGTGATGATGGCATTTTGCACTGTTTAGGTGACGTATGGCTCTGTGATGTTTTTCCGTGTGGATGTTTAAGCATTGTTTTTTCTATTGAAGTCTTTATACACTAGTTTATGTCAAAACATTTTTTTCAGTGCCCTGGGAGTTGTTGCTCAAATGTTGTACTTATTTTATTTTCATCTGTACCAACCTATGTTAGGCCTTTATAGTTTTTGTATTCTCATTTTAGTGCACTTATGTTTTAGTACTGTGTGAACTGAATTGTAATTTCATACAGCGCACGGGTTTGAAATTTGATGTCACAGTGGTGCGAGCGGCCTGACTGATCCTGCTATTTTAGTACTGATGTCGTATGTATGTTTTGAACTGATTCTTTTTATAACTTAGGTTGGGGGTTTGAGATTATTTTACGACCAGATCGTTCGTTGTGGTGTGGACATATTTTATATAAATAAGAAATTTAGCAGAAATGACAAATAAATTCTATTTGAACTTTTTGAATTTTAGTAGTTGAACTTGTCAGATTTTATATAAATAGGAAATTTAGCATAATTGACAAACATTATATGTTTGAACTTTTAGAGTTTTTAGTAGTTGAACTTATCAGATTTTATATAAATAGGAAATTTAGCATAATTGACAAACATTATATGTTTTGTACTTTTAGATTTTTAGTAGTTGAACTTGTCAGTTTTTCTATAAATAAGAAATTTAGCATAATTGACAAACATTATATGCTTGAACTTTTTGAGCTTTAGTAGTTGAACTTGTGAGATTTTATATAAATAAGAAATTTAGCATAATTGACAAACATTATATGTTTTGAACTTTTTGAGTTTTAGTAGTTGAACTTGAAAGTAATATTTAATTCGGTTTTTTAAATTATGTACATTTAACAGATAGGCTATTAAGTTCTGTTCTTTTTTAGAGGTTCATTGTTTTTGTATCATATTTTTTTTCCTTTTTTCTTGTACAAGTTAATTGACAAATATTTTTCTTGTTGTTTATTTTTCTTTCTCCCGCCATCTGGTTTGTATACCTGGGCTTATTGGTGGGGTGTTTTGTTGACGATGTAGGCTATTGGGCCGTTTTTCGGCCCAGATAGCTCGTCCGCGCGGCTATGCAGTGCGTCGTGCGCGTGCGCTCTGGTTTTAGTCCCACCTCGCTAGTCGAGGGGGCTCCGGACCTGTTTATAATCACAGCGGAGGCTCACCAGTCAAACTCCTCTGAACACTTACCAGAGCGCTTATACACGGCGCTCGCCCTCTCTCTTGACCTGTGGGCCCTGGTCGGCGGGTCCTACGTTGTGCGAATTACTAGGGATTCGCCCACGGGCTCGAGTTCAAGTATCTAGCATTGTCAGGGCCTGCGCCTGACCTTGGGCGGTCATTTTTTTGTTTGTTTGAATCTAGTACTTGACTCCACCAGTAACTTGGACTGATACTTTTTGTTCTAGTTCTTGTCAGTTTTGTGTGAGTGTAATCTTTTTCATTTGAGTTTTTTGCCTTCTTTTTTGTGTTTGTTTTTGTGATTATTCTCAAGTGTCTTCTGGTGTCATTTTCAGAACTATGGTACTTGCGTGTAGACTAAGTTGTACTGATAGTGCATTCATAGTAGCACTTACGGACTGATGCTTCTTTGTACTTTTTATTGTAGTAAGAATGTACTGTCCGATCAAGTGTACTGAGTTGTACTGACACGGAACAATGTTGTGTGATTAGTTGCATCATAACTAGTACTTTAGAGCAACGACAACATTCCATTCATAACTACTTTTGAATTTTTGAAATGATGGATTAACAACATATGAAGCTACCAAACCAAACTTATATAATGAGATAAGCAAAACATTATACTTGATGACATAACTAAACTTGTTCAAACATGACAAGCATGACATAATCACACTGGTTCAACCCAACAAGAGCAAACTACTAATTTGAAACAACAAGATAAAAGGCAAGCACAAGTGGAATTAAAACGAAGGCAGACTCTGATGTTATCTTCATCCAGTAAAGGGGCAATAGGGGCGGCCGTAGAAGTTTTCAGCCTCCCGCTCTTTTGCATATTCCCAACCGTCTGTGATGAAGTTGATCATGAACCATGATTTGTACGCGGCGTACGCATCTACTCCTACGTACTCGATGAGGTTGTCTGGCAGCTCGCTGGTCCCCCACAGTTTGTAGTCTTCCTGCGTGTTGATCTTGTTCTTCATGCCTTTGTAGAATGGGTGGATGACGCTGGCTGCAACATCAATCAAGGAGTCGTACTCTTTTCCAGTGTATGGAACTCTCCACTTGCGCTGAATGTCGATGAACTTGTTGGGGTTGATCTCCATACCGGACAACTTCAGCTTCTCTTTGTCGCTTTCAATGCTGAAACCGGCAAATGTGACCGACTTGCTGCAGCATCTCGGTCAGGCGCTTGGGCCTGCAAGGGCAGAGACATTTTGAATATTAGCATTACTTTGATGTTTTGAATTATTCATTTTTGTTTTGTTTTACAAGCGATGAATCCATGAAGTAGTTTTTTATGTAGGATAAACAATGGATGAATGTACTTCAAAAACTAGTAAAGAAAGTTCTGAAATTAAATTAAGTACATCATGTTATTCTTCTTCTTTGATTATACATAGTTTCAGTCAATGTTGTATGTTCTGCATTCGCACTAGTTTAGTCTTTTTTGGTTGAAATGGGATAACAGAGAAACCAGTGCTTCACCAAGTCCTTAGTTTATTTTCTTACGAAAATAACATTAGATCAAATTCAGAAAATACTTCACTACATCAAGTTCAAAAACGTCTTTTTTAATACATCGAGTACATAGACTACTCTATTGTATCAACTTCAGAAACTTCACTAGTCGATCAACTTCGGAATTTAATCTTCCGCGATATTTTCCAAATATTAATCCATTGCATCAGGTTCATAAATACATTTTATAGTATATCTACTTGAGAAAATGCAGTAGTGCATCCACTTTTCACAAACCACACTAGTACATCTAGTTGGGAAAGCAAGTGTGATTAATTTTCCAGGATACAATAGTAATAAAACAGATAAACCATATGCAGGGCAAATGAGTAGGATTTGCTCACCATTTTGTGGCCGCTGCGATGTGGTACACCAAGCAGAGTTCGTCGACGCACAACTATAGGACTGCTGCCTTCTGGGGAGGTTCATCTTCGTTGGTGTAGTGCACACCAACACCGACAATCCTACGAACCCTGCCACCAAGCTTCATCCAGAGCCTGGAGATCACCTCGTCGGCCTTTTCTGGTACGCTAGTGCAGACGATCTCTAACGTCTCGTTGCCGTGGAGCTCAACCCCTTTGAGGGTTGTTGTGTACTCGCGCTTCTCGCCGGGGACGTTAATGTCGATGAGGTTGCTCCTCTTGTCCGACGTCTCGGCATGATGACGCTTGGCGGACGGTTCCTCCGCCATGGCCTTCCTCCGCCGACTGTGGGCTTTGGAGAGAGAAGTTTTTGGTTTGTGTTCAGTGGAAATGGAAGCGGCAATGGTGGTTTGTGGGAACGAGGGAGAGGTGGAAGAGAATGGGATTTTGTGCAGTGCGTGGACGGGGATTTTGCAGTAGGCGGTTCGTTCGGGGTCATGTGTGTAGTGGGTGTTGTGGCGTGGGGTCACCGTTCGCAGTCCCTTGTGCCAACCGCTCAGTGGGTGGCGCGGATGGTGGCATGGAAGAACTAACCGTTCAAGTGAAATGGTTTTTACTGTTGAACTGACTAGTCTTGTCAAGCTGTACTTATGACCTGCCAAATCCCACTTGCACGTCTCTGCGGTGGTGATGATGGCATTTTACTGTGGCACCGATTCGTATAGTCAAGCTGTACTTATCAGCTGCTTATCCCACTTGCACGTGTCAGCGTCGGTGTTGATGGAGGTCTGAACTCCTCTACTGTCGTACTCGGACTGGTGATTGAAGTGCAATTGAACGTACCAAATACCAGTGAGACTATGTGTGGTGCTAATGTTTTTTAAAACAATTTTCGTATTTTTTTAAAGGATTGTTTATATCAAGATAATCTGTGAGTAGTTTTTACAGATAAATTAGATTTTCACCAGTACAGGATGTATTATATTCGCATTTGCCTTGAGGTAATTATTTTCATGTACTGATGGTGTTTCTGAATTGGGACTGGCAGGAGTAGGCATAGCTTTGTTTTTTCAAAATGATTTTTTTGAGTCGTTAACTGGTGTGTTTGTTTTACTATGCCTTTTGTACTACCACTGAGATTTATCAGTACTGATGTACTACAAGAGTTTATATTTTTCCTTGACATTTTTTTGTTGCTGAGTTACTGGTTGACAGTAGCGTTTTGCGTCAGATATATCCAGATACGTTTTTTCAAATTTATTTGTGACTGCATTCAAAAGGATTATCAAATGGTTTAAATAATAATGTCACTACTTCAGCGGGCACAAATCAGAAATTATATCAGTACTGATGTGTACTCAGCCTTGTACTGACGTCTGAGAGTTATCAGTACTGATGTACTACAAGATTTTAAATTTTTCATTGACATATTATTTTTCCTGAGTTACTGGGTCACAGTATCGTTTTGTGTCGGATATATACAGATAAGTTTTTTCAAACGTATTTTTGTGACTGCTCCAGCAGGCACAAATCAGAAACTA